AAATAGACTAAATTCATAAGGCAATACAAAAGAAACAATTCTTATTTTAATTTTTTTAACCTAAGAAAATTAAGGAAACAGAGTAGGTAACGTAAAAATTTAAGCAGGAAAAAAAAAAAAAAAGCTTAAGAAGGATGTATTAAACTATATCTAAACAAACATGTTAACCTTAGGGTACCTATTACCAGGATTCATTAACTGATCCTTGTTAGTGGATTAAGCAGCATTGTTCCAGAAACAGGTGAATTTTGAAAAAGGTTTAAAGAGGTGGCATATGAACTGGAGAAGGCGATGTTTAAATTAAGGAAACGAGGACAAAGGAAAAAACAAGGCTATTTTCTTTTTAAGCAAGAATGAGAAACAAAGTTAATGAGATGAAGTTGGTAGAAAGTCTTCAAGGTGAAGCAGGTAAATTTGTAATTAATTTGATAAGTACCAGGGAACTCCTATATATTTTTAAATGGGAAGGTGGCGTGTTAAAATATGATCTTTAAAGATTCAAACTTTGTTCCATCATAAAGTACTGCCTTGAGTTACACAATGTTTTTGCCAAACAATTGGGGAGGTGGGGAATAATCCACTACCCTTTATGTGTGCTTTATACATACTCTTCTCAAAAAGAGAAACTGACTAAATAAAAATCTTTAGGTAATGGGTGAGCATACTGGGGAGGGGGATCCTTTCAGATACAATGCTTGTGAATATTAAATGCTACTGTATGTTTTAATAAGAACAACAGAACTTTAAGCAAGAAGGAACCTTGGAGATAATCTTTCAGTGGCAACCCCTTCATTTTCACACCAGATTAAATTGAAGCTCAGAACTAAATAACTTGCCTAATGCCATATATAAATAAACTAGTGCAAGATTAAATACTAGAACTCAGATTTTCTAAGCGGGAAGACCTGAAGCTATGCTGTCCAATACTACAGATACCAGCCACATCTGGCTATAAATTTAAATTGATTAAAATCAAATACAATTTTAAATTTAGTTTCTCAGACACACTCGTCACACTTTAAGTGCTCCACAGCCACACATGGTTAATGGTTACCATAACTAACAGTGCAAAAAATATTTCTATCATTTTTGTCAATTATACTTCAATAAAGTTGAAGGAAAAAAGAATATTTCCATCATTGCAGAATGTTTAATTGGACAGAACTGATCTAAAGAATAGTTTCAGAGAATTCCACTTACTAGAAGTATGAGCCTGGACAAGTTATTTCATTTCCCTTAGCTTCTATTTGGCAGGGAGGGGACAGGATTAATAGTACCTACCTCATAAAGTGTACTTGGTGAGTGGAACATGAAAAGCCCCTAATACGGTATCTGACACTTAACAGACAATAAATACTAACACTCTTCCCTTCTGGATCCTTTTTTCTTTCAACTACTCTATATAACCTCCTTGTTAAAAAACACAAACACAATAACCAATCCAAGTTGGTATCTTCCTCATGATAGTCTATACGATGTAATTTTCATTTTGTACTAATTTATTCAACTACTTGCATCTCTCTTCCAAAGTTTCTACTTAAGAATAATGAAATGAAGAATGAATGTGAGGGAAGATGCCTCTAATGAAATGAAAGAGAGTCTAATAAATTTCCCCTCCTCTTTTTCCCCATTCATGCAAAAGGTAAGAAATTATGCTGTTCCTAGACAATGGTACTTTCATATCAATAAAGATGATTCTATGGTATTTCTACATTATACCCTATCTCACCGTCTGTACTACTAATTAAATATTAAATGAAGAGATAACAACACCTCCTTCCTACAGTACTTTTCTGGCAAACAATAAAAAGGATGTTCGGAATGCTAAGCCAAACTTCAAGGCTTCAGAGCTTATTCTAGTAAACTGGCAAATTTAACACATCTGGACTGTGGTACATAAAAAACTTCATAACATGCAATAACGGAGAAAAACAACAAAATTCAACTCAGTTCGTAAACTACTACCAATAGCTAAATTTTATATAGGAGCAACAATTCATATTTAGCCACAATAACCACTCCTAGCCACAGCAACCATTCCTAGTGAGTTGATCAATTTTGCATTCTAAGAATTTAGGCAGAACTTTTAAACATTTGCCCCTAAACGTACACCAAACAAGATTTCCACATATTTTTAGAAAAGTTTTCTTGTTTAAAAGTGGCCATATTAACTCTCAAGCGGAGGCAAAAGTACTCTCGATAACAGACCTCCTTGCAATTCTCTGCTAGTCTCTTACTTTGCTCCTTAAAGACAACTTACTAAAAACCATGATCACTGATCCCGCTTTTAGAGTTTGTAAGTCATAAATAAATACTAAACAGATAACAATGGATACTGTACAACTCAATTATGTTTAAAAAACAATACTATTTTAAAAATACAAATCACACTTTAATAACAATCTAACGAAGTCATATAAGTTAAAAAAAAAAAAAGCCGAAAAGTTTTTATTACCATCTCACATAAACTGTATTACTATCTCACTTTATTATACTTTTTTTAAAAGTTAGGCATCTATGCCCAAACTGATTAAATCGAGTATGAGAGATCTATAATTTTTTTTAAAGTCCTTCAACAATAATGAAGTGTACCCTGGTCACAGAATAGTTCAAATGAAATTTCCTGAGGCTGCATTCTAAGTACATCCGACCCAGAAAGTATTTTTAGCAAGTATGTTCAATCAATGCTGGTTTTATGCCTAGCCTAAATTAGAAATTGGGTGTTATAAATTTAAAGTAACAATGTTACCAGGGACATTTTAAAAGATATTTAATTAGAACATAGGAAAAGAACACAAGTTTAACTCAATTCAATACCTACAGCTCCGAAGCTAAGACGCTAGAAAACGGGCAGTAAGAAAATCCCATCCTCATCTATTACTACTTTTGAGGAACCTATGATTTTCTAACTTAATAAACGTGGACCTACTCAATTAATATTTTTAAAAACTACAAAATAGTGATGCCTCCTTGGATTTTAAAAACCTCTTGCCAAATTTTTAAAACAGACTAGCAAAAACACAAACATTCCCATGTACAAAAAAGACTGTTTCTCTTATAAATCACTCAAGATCATATGATGGGACCGTGCGTGTTTCAATGCAAAATGTAACAAAGATATGTGTACCATAAAAAATGTGAAGAGACATAAAAATTGCTTTTGTGGTAACTGGAGCATAAATTTATTCTGACAAAAAATGGTGATGTCCACAAAATGATCACATTCATGAGCTAGTGAAGAGGTTCTGTACAATAAACAAACTTTTGCTTATGAGTTTTTTCTTTAAAAGAAAGCTGAATTTATATTAATCAAATCTAAGATTTAAATGATATATCTAGCTCTATTTCATTAAGCACACTTTAGGCTCTGAACAATACTTTATTTTAAGGCCATCTCCTTTCCCCTTAAAATTGAAAAAAAAATTTTTTTCCTCTGGCACGTTCAAGTTCAGAAAACCAAGATTTAAAAATGCCCTGGTTTTTACTATTCCAGTCTTCTTTCTACTCTAATTGCCTTTTGCAAGTCGGACACATTGGCCTTTTGTTTTTATCTTTCTCCATAAATACGTTTTAAATGTGACCAATCCGCTGTACTCTTTCAACTGGGCCCAAGATCTGGACACAGAAACTTAGTATTACTGAAACCTCTTATTCGAAAAGCAGCTGGCATACTGCAGATGTATAACAAGTTACCCTAGAACAAGCGTTCTGAAAAATCCTACAAATCGTCCTTGTACATACTGATGTCACTACATGATGCAAGCCCAGACATAAAATCTTCCACCCCAAGTTTTGCAGAAACATCCACACATCACCTGTGCAACTGTAAGCTGTTCCATTTTATGGAAACCCTGCGAAATGCATCATTATTTACCTACATCTCAACTTTTTTTTTTTTTTTTAGCTCAACTAGATTCCCAAATACAGGTATAGACTGATAGAATCATAACAGGCTTAAAACTTCAATGGTAGGAATAGTTGGCTCATGCAACGTGCAAAAAGCGCTCATATGAGCCAATTAAAAAAAAAAAAAAAAAAAGGAATTCTACCAGCAATGGAAAACTCAAGATTCCAAAGCTTTACCTAGAGTTTAGGTACTGGGGAACATTCCATCTCCGCACCTATTCCATCCCTTGTCCCTTCTCTGACCCATAACAGAGATTCCAACTATAACCCCCTCAAGAGCAGAGGTCCCAGGAAGAAAGGAAATAAGGCATTTTTTTTTCCCTTCCTTTTAAATCATCCTCGTACCTCAGGCTTGCTCTACCTGGCTCACCTCCCAGGAGCCACACATGCAGGTAAGAGCCTCGCGTTCAGCGTGCAGGGCCGAGAGGCCGGCGGGGACCGGAGAACCTCTTACCTTCGTATATCACAGCCGCGTCCTCTCGGCTGGAGAAAAAAAAGCCTCGAGGCCCCGGCGCGCAGGGGAGAAGCGCGTCCGCCGTGCCGCTCCGGGGGGCTACCTCAGCGCCCCCCGAGCAGCCGCCGCCGCAGCGGTCGCGCCACGACCCGGAGCCGCCAGCACCACCTCATGCTGCTGGGCAGCCGCGGGCCGGCGTCGCCAGGGAGGTGGCAGGGAGGCGGGCAGCCGGCGACCTCTCCTACCTCCCTGCGGGGATGAGATAATCCACACCCCCAAAAGTGCGTGGGGGAGGGGGGCCTGGCCCCAATCCTCCGACCCCTCGGCCAAAGCCAAGTCTCTTTCCTCTCCGGCTCAGGCCCAATTCCGGCCCCTGGAACCCAGGAGTCCTGAGAGAACAATGTTGCTGGTGGGGCGCGAGGAGCGGAAAAGCGCGCTGCGCGGCGTGAGCTGGCGGGTAATCCTGGGCAGCGTTTGTGTGTGAGAGTGCAAGAGGAGCTCAGTCACCCCCCTCCTTCTCCACCTCCCCTTCCTCCCCCTCCTCCTCCGCTATCTCTTCCTCCTCCCTCAAGCACACCCCCTCTCCCAGGCCGCAGCATAGCAACCGAACATGGCGGCTGCGCAGGCGCCGCCAGTCAGCGGCCGGGAGCGGCGGCGGCAGCAGCAGGAGGCGATCTCGCGAGAAGCGAGGCTAAAAGCCTGCCCCGCCAGCGCAGGGAGGAGAAGTCGCTCCAGTCGGAGCGCGGAGGGACACGCAGGTGCGAGAGAGGACGGCCTAGCAGGATTGGGAGGGCGGATTGGAGCGCGGATTGGAGCGCGGATTGGAGGGGGAGGCGGAGCGCTGTGGCCCCCGCCCCGCAGCCGCATCGCGATTGGTTGCTTGGGCTGCGACCCCTGCTGCACCCACTGACCTGAGGGACCGGATAGTGGGACAAGAAGCCTGTGTTAAAAGGGAAAACCAGACCGCTTGGCAGCAGGTCGCCCCAACCTCAGTGCTCCTAAAGGATATAGGTTTTGGGGGGCAGTTTTGAATCATTTCCTCTCCTAAACATAGGCTCCAAAACAAAGCCTCAGCAACCAACCTTCGTTTATAAAACAAACGTTCGGGGGTGCCTTCTGTGTGCCTGGAACGGTGTGCTTTTTAAAATTTAGTTCATTCCAATAACATGAATTTGGTGTTATCACGCCAGGGTTTTTAGCCAGGTGCATTATAATATTTTATTGGTGATACAAACTTATTGGTAATAGGACAGTTGCCTGCGGGTGATCTCAGCTGAAATGGAGGAAGAAGGGATTTGGGGACCGCCACACTTCCTTTTTGCCCAATTTTTTATTAGTGCCCTTTTCTGTCTCCAGGTGCCTTCTTTGTCCTTCCTTGCTCTTAGCTTGAGCATCCTATCAGAGCCTACCTTTATAAAGACGATCTTTCCAAAACCACTTTCCCCCCAAGCCGACAAAATGACTACAAATCAAGGGAATTTGAACAAATCTGGACAAGATAGAAATTTATATTGACTCACTTCTGCCTCACACCTGTTAGTTTTTCCATTTGAAAAAGACAGCTTGCCCATCCATGTTTCCTGCTTTACTTCTTCACTTGCTTTTCTTCCCAGATCTCTGTTGTAACCAATGCTCATTCATTCCTCCCTAAATATGCATTCCTGCCTGTGACTCGCCATTTTCTGTCTTTGATCATGCCAGTCCCTCTGCTAAAATGCTCTTCAGCTCATTGTCATCTGTCAACATCCAGTCATCCTCCAACCAAAGATCATATGAGACTTCCACCAGAAATTGAATGTTTCATATAAATAGAATCATACAATATGTAATTTTGGTTGAGAGGCAAGGTCTCGCTATGTAAACGGAATCATACAATATGTAATTTTTGTTTAGAGGCAAGGTCTCCCTATGTTGTCAGGCTGGTCTCCAACTACTGGGCTCAAGAGATTTTGCCTTAACCTTTGGAGTAGCTGGGATTATAGGTGTGAGCCACCTGGCTTACATGTAGTCGTGTGTCTGGTGTTAAGCAAGACACAAAAGTTCCCGAGTGGAACTTCCCCTGCAAGTCACCAGGATGGACCCTTTGAAGTTACCAATACTCACCATTATTCCTTGAAAAATCTGAGTTCACCTTAAATCTACCTGCCTGGAACCCTGGAAGGAGAAGAATCAATAATTGTCCTTAAAAACAAAGAGAGAGAGAGAGTGCTTTAGACTGTGCCCCAGCCTCACATGGTCCCATTGAAAGTTGAATTGTGAAATAATAAATTAATATATCTCACACTTTAATGTACATGCTGATCACCTGGGGTTCTTATTAAACTGCATGTTCTAATCCATTAGGTCTAGAGTGGACCTGAGACTCTGCATTGCTTTTTTTGTTTTATTTTTTACATAGAGACAGTCTCTCACCAGCCCAGGCTGGTCTTGAACTCGCCTGACCTCAAACAATCTTCCTGCCTTGGCCTCCCAAAGTGCTAGGATCACAGGAGTGAGCCACTGCACCTGGCCTAGAGACTCTTTCTAACAAGGTCCTTGGCTTTTGGACCACCCTGGAGTAGCAAGGATGTAGTTCCTTCAACTGCAGTCTAAGAAAATATATATGCAAATTCTCTACAAAATATGTAAATATTTTGCTCTTGCTTAAATTATGTTCTTTTAAAAGTTAATATATTCTAACCGCTATGCTGGATCATTTGATGACCACCTTGTAACGAAACCCTGCACTTGATTTTGTATTTGGCACCAAGCACAAATTTAATTTTCTGGGGCTAATGGGAAAAGAATAGAATACTTCTTGTGGAAAGGACAGCATTCTGGCTAAGCGAAGGTCACACGTCCTTTACGGCACACTGCACAAAAGTTTAACAGAAATTCAAATAGAGAAGAATGTTGGGATAATTAAGTCAATTATAAGCATGCCAAACAAAAAAGCACATACCATAGCAGTGAGTTCCATATTCTCATATCAGAGGACAATTTAATTTCAGCAAAACAACAAATGTCGTTACCACACATTACATACATAATATTAATTGAATTTTTTAAATTTGTGAATTTAATTTCTAAAATTATTTTAGTTTTGTAGACGTGAGCTATAAGAATAAGAAATTATTACCTAAAGTTTATGTATAATTAAGAGACATAATTAAAATGACTTAACAGTTGGAAGTTAGCAAGAATTTTTTTTTTTTTTCATTCAAAAGTGGCCTCAAACATTACTGGATATTGGCAGGCACTGCTATTGACTGATTTTTTTCCTTGTCTGCAGCCTGCCCTTGACTGTGCTTTGGGAGAGTAAGAGCAAAGGTTGTATCCACACTTGGAGGATATTGGCAGGCAAGGACTGGCCATTTTGCACTGTGTGGTCAATGGTAGGACCTCTCTTAACCCTGGGTAGCTACAGCCAGAAGGGAACAGGCATTTGTTCTTGCCTGTATGGGCCTTGGCAGTGACCCCAGGCAGCAGCAGTGGAGAAGCAGCTTTGACTAGGCACTGTGGCTGACTCACCAGCACCCACTATCAGTAACTGGAGAGGACCCCTTTGGAAGAAATGAGTAATAGTGGGATCACTGGGGATATCTAGGGAGAAGAACCTCAAGGGAAGGTTGGACTCTACTCACTAGGTAGAGCTCAGAGTGGTATGAATTTTAACTTCAAAAAGCACATGACTTAAACTGACTTCATTTTGTTACCTATGCTGGTGAGGCGGGACATACAAGGTATACAGGCTTTCAGTCAAATGTGAGTGCTGTCTAACCTGGTCCCCAACAGGAGACCTTGGTTAGGTACCTGTCTGCCTTAGCTAGTCAATTAAGGGAGAATTTCATCTTTTTTACCTGCCTGGAATCTTCATGCGTAACTTAAAAGCAAAAACAAGCATATTTAAATAATTGAAACCTTTAAAGAGGTGGCACACGTTTCCAGTAAGTTCAGGATTCTGTGGCTTGGGCTTCCTTTAATCACAGAGCTGTGTTAAATATACTTAAAACATTAAAAATCCTATACCATATAACTCGGAGGCAGTTGGCCCAGATTTGTCACCATGTCAGCATGGCTCTCTCCCTCTTCATTTTCAGCAATTCTTTCCTTTTTTTCCTTTATTGCTGAATAGCAGCAGAAGACCTGTTAGCAATCCTGATATCAGGAACTGTACAAAAAAAGTGTAACATTTTAAAAATCTAAGACTTCCTCCTCCTCTCAGTCCCACTCTCAAAAGTTTTATTGACAGTTCTTGCATACCCTTCCAGAATTTTCTCTGAATATATAAGCTAAACCTACATCTCTTTTCCCTACACACAAGGGATCATACCGTGTTTCACTTACAAATGTGTGTGGAAATCATTCCTCAACAAAACATATGGATACATGTCATTCTAAGGGCTGAACTATAATGTATTTAACTTTCTCTAATTGATGGGCATCGGGCTGTTTCTAGTAATTTACTGTTACAAATAATGCTCTAAAGAACGTTTTCATCGAAGCATTTCTTTAAGACAAATTCTTGGAAATGCAATTGCTGGGTTGAAGGGTATGGCCATGTTTAACTTTGATAAATGCTGCCAAATTGACTACTGATTGCCTCACTGTGTGGGAGTTATTACTACTATAATCCACCTCTTATCATTCTGGGTTTTGTATTTTTCACAATAAAAAAAAAATCCCATATTTTCTTCTAGTACTTTTAGTTGTGTTTTTTAAATACTTAAAAATCCATGATCCTAATCTCAGGATTGTTAGTGGGTCTTCTGCTGCTATCTGGGAAATAATTTTGGTGTAAGGGGATAGAGATGCAGCTTTTTTTTTTTTTTAAATAACTATCCAGTTGTCCTAATACCACCTATGGAATAAACACACACACACACACACACACACACACACACACACACCCCAGATTGCTTTCATCAGATATGAAATTCTCAAAGATTTTTTTGGATCTGGACTTTTTTTTTACTTCATGCCATTGATTTACTCCATCTCTATTTTCATTTCTTGTTGCTGCTGTAACAAATTACCATAACTTTGACCGCACATGGTGGCTCATGCCTGTAATTCCAGCACTTTAGAAGGCCGAGGCAGGTGGATCTCTTGAGGTCAGGAGTTCAAGACCAGCCTAGCCAACATGGTGGCCAGGTATAGTATAGATGGAGTTCCATCTATACTAAAAAAATACAAAAAATTGGCCAGGTGTGGTGACACACACCTGTAGTCCCAGCTAATCGGGATGCTGAGACAGGAGAATCACTTGAACCTGGGAGGCAGAGGTTGCTGTGAGCTGAGATCACACCACTGCACTCCACGTGGGTGACAGAGTGAGACTCTGTCTCAAAAAGAACTCCCCAAAACCAAAAAAATTACCATAACTTTAGTGGCTTAAAAGAACACAAATTTATTATCTTACAGTTCTGGACATCAAAATTCCAAAATAGGTTGCCAACCTGTGTCCCTTGAGGAGGCAGGCTCTAGGGGAGAATCTGTTCCCATGCCTTTTCCAGCTCCTGGAAGCCACCTGCATTCTTTGGCTCATGGCTCCCTCCCCCATCTTCAAACCTAGTAGCATGGCATCAAATTTCTCTCTCATCATCTTTTCTGCCTTTTTTTCTCCCTCTTGCCTGCCTTTTACAAGGATCTTTGTGATTGCATTGTGTCTACCCACATAATGCAGGATAATAGTCACATCTCAAAATCTTTAACTTAACCACATCTGCAAAATCCTTTTTGCTGTGCAAGCTAACACTCACAGGTTCTGTGGATTAGG